ATTCTTGCAAGAGTGATCAATGTGGTTCTTTCTCTCAACTACACCATTTTGTTGAGGAGTATAGGTTGCGGAGACTTCATGTTTGATTCCAACTTTATCACAATATGCCTCTATGTTTGTGTTGTCAAACTCTTTTCCATTGTCACTTCTTATCTTCTTGAGCTTCACTTCAAATTCATTTTGTGCTCTCTTGGCAAATTTTTTGAAGCAAGATGCAACTTCGGATTTGTCATGAAGGAAGAACACCCATGTATACCTTGAATAATCATCAACTATCACAAGACAATAAAGATTTCCTCCCAAGCTCTTGTATGTTGTTGATCCAAACAAATCCATGTGTAGGAGCTCTAGCACTCTTGTGGTTGACATGAAAGCTTTTGTTGGATGAGCATTTGCAACTTGCTTGCCGGCTTGACATGCACTACAAAGCTTGTCCTTCTCAAACTTCACATCCTTCAATCCTCTCACCAAATCATTCTTCATTAGCTTCTTGAGTGAACTCATACCAACATGAGCAAGTCTTCTATGCCATAGCCACCCAAGTGTTGTTTTGGTGAATAGACATGTCTTCAAGTTAGCATCTTCGGAGGTGAAGTTCACTAGATATAAGTTGTTGTATCTAAATCCTTGAAATATCATTTGATGATCATCCTTCTTGGATACAACAACCTCCTTCTCAGTGAACAAGCATTGGAAGCCAAGATCACACAATTGTCCAACGGATAGCAAGTTGAAACTCAATGAAGCAACATATAGCACATTGGAGATGGAATGATCATTTGATATTGCCACTTTGCCCAATCCTTTAACCTTGCCCTTTGAGTTATCTCCAAATGTAATTCTCTCTTGTCCATCTACTTCTTCATCAAGTGAGGTGAACATACGAGGATCACCGGTCATATGTTGTGTGCAACCACTATCAATAACCCAATGACTTCCACCGGTCTTGTAGTTCACCTACACACAAGAGATTCAAGCTTTAGGAACCCAAACTTATTGAGGGCCCTTCACCTTCTCAACAAGTGACTTAGCAACCCAAATCTTCTTAGGCCTATTCTTGTTAGGAGGTCCTAAGAACATGACTTTCATCTTTCCACTAGAATCCTTTCTAAGCATGTAATGAGCATTGAAGGCAAAGGGTCTAGCATGCTTGGGCAAGGGTTGTGGTGGTGGAGTTTGGCACTCATGAGCAAAGTGACCTTCTTGTCCACATTCAAAGCATTTCTTTGGCTTCGGCTTTGATTGTTGTTGTTGAACTTGAGCCTTCTTCTTCTCTACATGTGCCACATATCCAATGCCACTTCTATCCATCTTCATGACGGTGTTCATAAGTAGCTCACTTTGAAGATATTTGCCTCTTGTGAACTTGCTCAATCCAACCTTGAGATGCTCTTTCTCCAACATAAGCTTCTTGTTCTCTTCCTTAAGAGCATCATTGTTCTTTTCTTCCTTGAGCTTCTTGTTTTCCTCTTTGAGCTTCTCATTCTCAAGGATCAAGTCACCATCATGATCAAGGGTTTCTAGCACAATGGTGTTGTGGCTTTTGATTTCTTCAAGATCACTCTTGAGCTTTGCATTGTCATTCTTGAGCTTGACATACTCATCATAGTCATTGCACTCAACCACTTGCTTGCCCTTGATACTAGAACCTTGCTCAATGCTCTCAATGATCAAGTCATCACATGATGTAGCTATATCAATCTTAACAACATGGTTAGTAGCATCATGCGGCTCATTGGATAGAAATTCTTGAGCAATAGCAAGATTATCATGATTAATCTTAAGAGTAGTATATTCATCTTTTAGCTTGTTGTGGCTAGTGATGAGCTCATTGTGCACCCACTCAAGTTTATCATATTTATCTTTAAGCTCTTTCTTAGAAGATTTGAGCTCCTTGAGTTTGGATGACATAGCATTATTTGCTTCTCTAAGCTCAACATTAGCCTTTTCTATTTCATCACATTTTGCTAAAAGTGAATCATTCTTAGCATCTAGTTTTTCATTTTTAGCTCTACTCTTTCTAATGATCTTAGTGTATTGTCTTAGTATTTTAACAAGATCATCATATGAAGGTGAATCATCATCATCATCGCTATCGATATCATTATCACTAGCTTGCTCATCATCACTACTATCATCATTCTTAGTTACCTTGCGTTCACCCTTGGCCATAAGGCATAGGTGTGTAGAGGATGATGGCGGTGGTGGAGATGAAGATGAGAGATCAATAGCTATGGCGGCCACCTTCTCATCGTCACTATCATCATCGGATGATCCACTAGATGAATCAATATTCGTGAGCCAATCACCGACAATGTAGGCCTTTCCACTCTTCTTCTTCTTGTGGAAGTCTTTCTTCTTGCCATCTCTCTTCTTGTATGGCTTGTTCTTCTTCTTTTCATCTTCTTCATTGCTTAAGTCATCTTTCTTGCCCTTGAACTTGTTCTTGAACTTGTCTTTCTTGGGCTTGGTGCATTGGTGTGCTAGATGACCAAGTTCACCAAAATTGAAGCAATCCATTTTGGAGATTGGCTTTCTCCTAGAGCTTGTGAAGAACTTCTTCTTCTTGCCATCGAACTTGATGCCACTCTTGTTTAGCTTCTTTAGCATCTTGGCGGCTTTCTTCACCATGGGAGCAAGATCTTCATCTTCATCTTCATCTTCTTCATCACTAGAGCTCTCATACTCAAGTCTTGCTTTGCCTTAATCTTGACTAGCTTTGAATGCTAAATCTTTTTCTTTCTTCTTAGTAGAGGATGAGCCATCTTGAGGTGTGATGTGCATGTACATTTCATGAGCATTGATCTTTCCCAAGATTTGTGTCGGTGTAGCGGTGGAAAGATCACCTTGATGTAGCACTGTCATAATATGCCCATATTTTTCAATGGGAAGGACACTCAAGATCTTTCTCACAACGTCGGATGGTGACATTTGAGTAAGTCTAAGCCCATTGACTTCCTCTATAAGAACATTCAAACGTGAATACATTTCATTAACACATTCTTTAGGAAGCATTTCAAAAGAGTTGAGCTTTTTCATGACAAGATGATAGCGTTCCTCATGCTCACTCTTTGTTCCCTCATGGAGCGCACAAACGTCCGACCATAGTGCATGGGCGTCTTTGTGGTTCCTTATGCGGTTGAACACATCTTTGCAAAGGCCTCTAAAGATGGTGTTGCAAGCCTTTGCATTCCATTTTTCATAGTTCACTTCATCGCCTTGAAGTTGTGCGGGATTCCTAGGTTTTGGGAACCCATGTGAGGCGGCTCTAAGTATTCCAACATCTAGAGCTTCTAAGTACGCCTCCATGCGAATTTTCTAATAAGGAAAATCATCTCCCTCAAAGATAGTAGGAGGTCCATCCCTGTGAGACATCTTGCTCTAAGCGGTAAGGCTTAAAAACGTGAGCACGAGGCTCTGATACCAATTGAAAGGATCAAGATGTCCAAGAGGGGGGGTGAATTGGGCTAATTCTAAATTTTCTTTCAATAATTAAATCCTATTGATAGCCCAATTAACCCCTTGTGCCTAGAAAGTGTTTGCAATGTTCTATCGCACAAATAGACTTGCAACCTAAGTTCCAATCCTACTCTAGCGTGGCAATTCTAGGAATGTAAATGACAATAATTGAATTGCTCAAAGTAATGCTTAAAGTAAATGCTCAAAGTAAAGAGAGGAGAGGAAACGCGGCGATGTTTTGCCGAGGTATCGGAGAGTCGCCACTCCCCACTAGTCCTCGTTGGAGCACCCGCGCAAGGGTGTAGCTCCCCCTTGATCCGCGCAAGGATCAAGTGCTCTCTACGGGTTGATTCTTCGACACTCCGTCGCGGTGAATCACCCACAACCGCTCACAATCTTGAGTCGGGTCACCCACAAGCTCTCCGGATGATCACCGAACTCTCAATCACCACCAAGCCATCTAGGTGATGGCGATCACCAAGAGTAACAAGCATGAACTCTCACTTGACCACGCGAAGCCTAATGAGAAGATGGATGCACACTTTGCTACTCTTGATTCACTAATGAGGTTTCACTCTTGGATTCTCAAATCATAAACACCTCTCTAGGACCTTGCTCTTCTCGGCACTCACAAGTGTGTTTCTCAGCTGTTGGAATGAGCAAAAGTACCCCCTCACACGAAGGCGTGAAGTATTTATAACAACGCCTAAAAAACGAACCGTTATGTGCCTCTGCGGGGTGACCGGACGCTCCGGTCAGTTCAACTCGCAAACCAGTGATAATGTGTTGACCGGACGCTGTCAGGGTCCGGTCACCACTGACCGGATGCGTCCGGTCGCATTAAACCCTCACTGGAACCTTACTGTACCCGACCGGACGATGAACCCCCAGGGTCCGGTCAGTACTGACCGGACGCGTCCGGTCGCAGATTCCCTTCTCTGGAACCTTACTGGAGTCGATCGGACGCTGCCTCTCAGCGTCCGGTCACTTGACCACTCCAGCGTCCGGTCGCACCGAACGCAATCTCTTGATCAAATGAACTGACCGGACCCTGCGGCCAGCGTCCGGTCGCACCGGAGCCAGCGTCCGGTCAGTATTTGACCCTCCATTCACCGATCATGTGTGAATGAAGTTTGCTCCATTGGATCTTAGGCATATGTAGGAGCTACCTAGAGCTAGTTTAAACAAGTGGGCACCACACCTAACTCACTAGACTCATCTAGGTTAAGCTACCCGTCCATAACCCCCCCCCTTAATAGTACGGCCAAAGGAAAAACAAAGTCCTAAACTACTCTAAGTGTCACTCCAACTCCAATCGACACTTAGAACTAGTCATCCTTAACCTTGTCGTCCATCCTTTGAAAACCGAAATGATTTCCATCGTAGGGGCATGACCACCTCGATTGCCCAATCGATCTCCATTACCATGACCTAACTTAATTGCCTCTGCAAAACACACGTTAGTCATAGTAATCTTGTATTGTCATTAATCACCGAAACCCAACAAAGGGGCCTAGATGCTTTCACACCAAAAGTTGATGTCAAAGTTGTCCCTTAGACAATTGATTTTCCCTGTAGCACCAAAAGAAGCATCGTTTCAGTATCCTGGCTATCTCCATGGCCAGACATGTAAGCCTCGGGTGCATCACAGGGTCGGTGCTTCCGAACGTAAGTGTCTTGAAGAAGTACCAATATGCTTCATCGGACAGATGTTTCAATGTCACTGCCCTTGTTGTTCCAAGCTTTGTGATCTTGTCATACCAGCTTGTGATTATGATTTTACTACCACTTTTCATGTACCGTTTACATGTAACATACATCCTCTTCCACTCTTCTTCATTGAAATCTCCAGTAGATTCAATAACAACTCGCATTCTTCCATCTTTGTTTAACGTGGAATTTTGATATTTCTTCAGACACCCTTCCCCAAGGTAGGTTAACTTATCACTTTTGAAATCATTGTCACTCAAGAACATGATTTCTGAAAATTGATCACGAACCCTTTTGTCATAGCAAATATGAGCGACAAGGGTGCTCTTACCAACTTTCCTGGGACCAACAATTGGCAGGACCTACAATTGCTCAGCAGCATTAGGATGTGTGTGCAGTAGGAAACTGAGCACAAGCTCTGCTTCCATCTGGCGGCCAAACATGCAGTTTCCCAGAAGTAGATGCATGCTAATAAGGCTGGCGGTACATACGAGGGTAGCTCGTCAAGAACACAGCCAGCTCTTCTGCATCAAGGATCATAGAGCTCAGTCTGTGAAAGGCCTCTTGAAGTTCTTCTAAAATCTGTGAGTTTCTATTTGAAGAATAGAAACCTTTCAGAGAATTTAGTTTGGACAGAGACAAATAATGACTCACAACATGATCTTTTGTGTCCTCCTCATGAGATTGGTATCTAAAGGTGTCAAGTGTGTAATGGCCTTGATGCATGGCATCTCTCAGCATGTCCAGCTGCTGGAGCATAGCACGATTTGTGATGTGCCGTCCCGTGGCCTCGTCGATGATGACCTGTGCGCGAAGCAGGACCCTGTGGAAACAGTCCTCCACATTGTGTGGCTGAAGCTTAGAGCTTTTGCTGATGAAAAAATTTAAGGATCTAGTGATTCCCTCACCAAGTAGTGCAGAAAGTAGCATCTCCATTTGGGGGCTCCAGTCAGGAAGGTCACAGAACGGGTGGAGAGAAGGAAATAATGACACTGTAGGAGTGGCGTGAATGTCCAAGTGCAGAATCCTTGCAAAGCAAGAGCATATAAAGGACAACGGTCCCTGTTCTAGATGCAAAAGGTCCCTGTTCTAGTGGCTGGTCTGTGCATGCCTCACTTCTATTCAATTTGTCTGCAACTTGGATGTCTGCTCTGTTCCAACTTGCGAGACTTGATCAAACATGACTTCAGTTTTAGCATAACAGAAGGCACACGCTGCACCTGCCTTTTCAATTACATGCCCTGGGACACTAATGCCAGTCAAAACAGTGGCTGATCTAGAATGCACAAAAGCAGACTAGTAAACACATCAGAACAGAAGCTGCCTAAACTTAGAAAATGATTTTGGCCTTTACAAGGAAACAACAACGCAGACTACAAATTAAGGATCAGGCAGAGCAGAAGTAGGCCATACTACAAAATCTTTGCTTGTCTTCTAAGAGCATCTCCAAGAGTTCCCAAAACACTCTCCCAATTCTTTGATTTTTGGAAAAACTAAAAAATATGTCTCCAACAGTTACTAATACCAGCTCCTAATCTTTTAGCACTTGGTAAAAAATGACTCAATGCGCGTAAAGATCCGTGCTCTCCCGTCGCGCGTATCCCTCCGGGTCGTGCCAATCTTCTCCCTCGCGCGGCAAAGAGGAGAGTCCCGTGCACCTGCTCTTCCTCCTGGAGGCGAGGAACATGACGGCGCTCGTGCTCGAGTCCGGCCCGTGGGACGTGGGCATGCCGTACCTGACCTACTTCCACCCATCCCGCGCCGCCGAGGTGGCCTCCTGGCAGAGGACACTCCGGGGCGCGCGGCGGCCCGGCGACGGCGGCACCCTACGCGGCAGCGTGATCTACCAGTGCGCGCGGTCCCGGTGGAGCGGGCTGCTGTAGTGCGGCCGCGGGCAGCGCAGGGATCGGACTACTACGCCGGGCAGAAGTGGCGGCGATGAGGGAGCAGGTGATCCAGATGATACCTAGCATCGTGTACAGGACCCGAGGGCTCCCTCCGTGGAGTTCAGGGACGCCAGGGTCAGCCATGTCAAGCAGGAGCTGACTCCACGGCAGGACGACGATGACCGGCGCCGGTGGGATGGCTACATCGACATGCGGTGATCTTGTGCAGCTTGCTCAATCCCTCATGCACACTGTTCTTGCTTTTGGACTAAAATAAAATCCTAGGCAAACAGATGATGTTACTTTGGCCCCTTGTATACTGTTTACCGTCATCAAGATACTGCGTGACAGCGTGATCGACCAGTGCGTGCAGTCCCGGCGGTGCGGGCTCCTGCAGTGCGGACGGAGCGGCGCAAGGACTGCTTATGTTCTTCTTCTCACGAAG